CATTCCGCAAAAATGAACAACACAGTCTTGTTCAGAATTCAATTCTCTATCGAATGAGCGGGGTCTCGAATCGCTTTGCCGATGACACCAAAAGGACACTCCTTGTTAGGCTTAGACTTAGGTTAGGAGCCAGGTTTAGGCTTAGGCTATTGCTTGGCTCAGCCTTGTTTTAGCTCCGACTTAGGCTTGGCTTAGATTTAGGTCTTAGATTTAGGCCTACGCTCAGCCACTACAAAATACCAACCGAACAGAGAGCGCAATCTGCACGCCAAAGATGAAGAACAGCAGCAGCCAGTAGTTCCAGAAGCTGATGTGCACGTGTGAGGTCGAGTAGAGCGTCTCGGCGTTGCGCAGCTGGGCTCCCTAGAGAATATTCGAAAATTTGCCATAGAACGCTGCGCTGACCTTGGCGATCATGACGCCGAAGCAGATGGTGTAGGCCATGCCGTGGAGGATGACGCGGGCTCGGCAGACCTGGAATGGTCGGTATTTTTTAGCCTTTTTGAAGCTAGAAACCAACCATGTCAGTGGCGTCAAAGACGAAGAAATACGCGGTGATGTAGAGGAGGATAATGCCGACAAGCAGCGAAATTCCGAGCGATTGATTGCCTAAAAATGGATTTCTCAAAAGATTTCAATTTTTGGCTATACCCTTGACGACCCGGAGGTACAACTTGACGAGCACGAGGATGAGCACGGCGAGGGCGGAGATTGTCTAGAGTATTGTAGCGCATTTTCAGGTTTTTGTGATTATTACCAGTAGCGAGATGACGGCCAACAGGACGAAGTTGTGCGGATGGGCTCGCCATTCGCCGGCGCTGAGGTGTTCGAGAATCTGGGAAAAAAGAAAAACTTACTAATTAGTGAAAAATTTGTAGTGTAATGCTGCAATGGCATATTTTTATTTTGTCGAAAATCATTTTTTCGAAATTTCATTTTGTCGAGTTTTTTGGCTCAATTTCTTTTTTTTCGAAATCTCTTTTGTCGAAAATTACCTTGTCGAAATTTCATTTTGTGGAAATATCATTTTGTCGAAATATTATTTTTCGAAACTTCTTTTTGAAATTTCATTTTGTCGAAATTTCAATGCTTTTTGCCTCGATTATTCATCTCGAACAATGCAAAAATTGAAAATTCTAGGCACTCAAACTTCGACAAAATAAATTTCGAAAAATAATTTTTCGGCAAAACGAAATTTCGACCAATCAAACATTCGAAAGAATGTAATTTCGACAAAATATTAACAAATCTCATTCAATTAGTCTATGTTCATGATTACCGATGTGTATTGGACAGTGTCGGCGCCAAAAGCGGGCTGCTTTCGGACATAGGAGGCGCCAGAGTCCCGCTCGACGATGCCGCCGGCGACGAAGTTGTCCAATGGACGCTGCAGAGGCGAATGAATAGAAAATGGACTACCGGAATACCTGGAAGAAGTCTCCCTCGAGGAAACATTTGCAGAGTGGCGGCACGCATTTCGAGACGACTGGAGATGAGCGGCCGAATGGCTGAAAAAAGTGTTGAAGACAGCAAATTAAACTTTAAGGAAAATACCTTAACTTACTAACTATATTCACTTTAATAGCCGGCTTTAAAGTATGCTTTAATACCTTATACAGGGCATGCATCTTGAGCCCCGAGTGCGCACTCCAGTTTCCGATCAGGTGGTACGCCGGTCGCCCGTCCCGGCCCTCCATCCATTCGAACATCTCGACGTCGTCTTCAACGGGGGCACGACGCAGTTGCTCGCTGATTGCCCTTAAATTGTATTATATTATATTTATATTATCATTTAATTAATTCTGGTAATTAAATAAAAATGGATTAAAAATAAAAATCTCCTACTTTCGGCCATTCGCATAGAATTCGGGGCAAAGTCCGGCCTGCGCAGGGCACAGCCGCTTGTAGACAGCGTCCATGGCGAAGAGCAGACGTTCTACACCTCTGGACAGGTAGCCGGCACGTGTCATACGGCCTGAAATGGTCGGGATCGTTTATGGTCGAAAAATCATAATTTTTGTATTTTTTAGTTGAATATTAGGGGTTTAGCCCCTCTCCCCCTCCCCCGATAATGCACAAGGATCTTAAATTGTGTGGCAGTGGTACGACCGCTTTTAGTTGGAGTTCGAATTTCTAAATTTTTTGTCCAGTTTTATGTTGTTAGTTTTGTTTCTAATTCTAATAATTTTTATAGAATCTTACACAGCTTATGAATATAAAAAGCGCATAGAAATTTTTTAAAATATAGGCAAAATGACAAAAAGGCACAATTTTGGTAAATTCATAAATTAGCGTATTTAATATTTTTCTAACAATCAAAAGTTACCAAAAACACCATAAAAATACACTATGCACAAAAAAACTAGTCGCCCAGCTACCCCCCGGCTAATAGGCCAGTACCAAATATCGCCTTCTGAGCCTCTAATCCCTCACCCAGCCTGGCCACGTCCAACAGCTCGTCCCCACTGCACATCTTGCCGTAGACGAGCTTGCTCTTCTGCGACAAGGCGCACTGGAACCGGTGCTCGATGAAGCCCCAGAACCACATCTCCGGCAAGTTCAACGGGGACACCGTCTCGAGCCATTCGCGGAAATCCGGGTACACGATGTCCTTCGGCTGGATGGAGACGGCGCCGACGTACTTGGCCGTGTCGCTCGGCACATGGAGGTAAAAATCGTGGGCGTCGCCGACGAGCACGTGCACCTGAAGCTCCAACCTTTTATAAAACCTTGAGCTCCAGCTTTCGTACCTGATTATGCCCGGCAGCCAAATACGAAGCCGCGTCCTTGGCGGTGGCGAACACGACGGTGACGTTGGTGCTCGAGCCGGGGGAGGCTGGAGCTTCACCCGATAAATTGACAACCTCCGCCAGGCAAACGCCAGAATCGGCGGCGAGCCGTTCAAAGTGGCGGAAGACGGACAGGGAGGCGGCGTCGTTTTCGGAGAGGGCGACCGTCACGAATTCCCAACTCATGCGAGAAAGCAGTCTAGATGCGGATAGAAGTTGGGAGTTTGAGGCTTACCTCAGGATGGCTTGAGCCTGAGCACGAGCTGATGGGATGGCGGAGAATGATTCGGTTGGGGAAAGGACATCCGGGTCGGCGGAGACCTACAGGAAACGGTGTTTTGTAGGCGGTCTTTTTGAGGTGGAGCCTGAGAGAGAGAGAGAGAGAGAGTGAGAGTTAGAGAAAGCGAGAGTGAGTGAGTGCGTGATAGAGTGAGCGACATCGAGAGCGCGTCAGAGTGAGAGAAAAACCTAGAGAGAGTGACAGTGAGAGGGATAGATAGAGCAAGTGAGAGTGAGAGAGAGAGCGAGAGAGGAGAGAGAGAGTGAGCGTGAGAGAGTGTGAGAAAGAGTCAGAATCAACACTTGGGGCAAGCGCCCCCTCATTTAATCCTAAAACACACCAGCGCCACTGGAGTATCACCAGAAGCGAAGTATCCTCGTAGCGCCTGTTGAGCATCGCCCTCAAGCGCTGACACATAGCCGAACACGCTACCCGGGACGATCGTGATGTTCCGATCGGCCTGCGCAAAGCGGAAGCACTGCGTCTCCGAGCGGACAACGCATTCCATAGCCTAAAAATCATAGATTCTGCGGGCTGGTATGCCTACCTGCTTGCCGCTGGCGCACGTGTCGACGAGCAGCGCACCAAAGTCGAGCCCGTTCAATAGACGGAGCTGCGGGAATCGCTGGCGGAACGTCCAGACGGTGTGGATGAATGCCATCGGCAGAGAGATGTCCGTGTCGCGCATCTCTTCGCACGCAGCGCCGGAGTGGAGCGAGAACAGGCCGGATAGATAGACGGGATACGTGCGTGGGATCGAGACAAAGTACTTCTGGAATTGGGGGAAATAAATGGAGCCTAAAAATTCAGGATACCTCGTTGGAGACGGCCTCCACCTGGGGGCAAACGCCGCAGAACGGCCGATGCGGCATGCAAATCGACCGGGGCTGCGAGGTCTAAAAAGATTTGTATTCCAATTATCATCTTACAAACATTAAATTCATAATATAAACATTAAATACCATATATAAAGTTATATTAACGGTACTGGACTCTTAGCGGGGGGATTCAGGAGGTTTTTTTAAAAACTTTTACACCTTTTACTTTGTCCGCCTTAAACTTGTTCAGAACCGATACCGTATTCTATTGTGTTTTAGTAGTTTTTTGTTTGTTAGAAAGTGACAAAAACGATTGAAAAATTCGAAATGTTTGGACACTTTTCATACATTTTTGACCCAGAAGTCAAAATTTTTCAAAAATAATTATATTTTGATGTCTCTTTTGTATCTAAAAACGGCATATAATGCCATAAAATTGGGTTATGTTTCGGTATAGAACATTACGGGGTTACTGGGAAAAATTTGGTTCCCCGCAACCCCCCGCTAATGGTCCAGTACCAAATGTTATAGCAATAAACTGACGAGGAATGCTGGGTTATTTAATAAATCGATACTTATGTCTTTTAATATAATTTAATACTTTTTAATACATGAATTTTACTAAAATTAATTAAGTTTTTATTTAATACTCCAGTAAACCTACTCTTGCTCTCAATGAAGCGACGACCACCGATGGCTTCTTCCCCGTGGTGTACTCGAGAAGTTTGTATTGCACGATACGATCATCTTCGTCCCTCCACGCCTCGACGGCTTCGATTATCATACCGCTAGCCACCAGGACACCATCCCTGAAAATTCGTGTCTCAAGCGCTCTGTGGAAATCCTTAAAACCCCATGTTAATCTCCTTACTTTGCCCTGTAGAAGTGCAGCGTCTGCCCGCCGAACTCCGCCGGGTCGTTGGCGGTAAAGGTATACTCGAGCGTCTCCAGCTCGCGCAGCAGCAGCGCCGTGCATTCCGGGTCGGCGTGCTCGCTGGAAATGATCGGCTAGAAGTTAAAAACCCGATAACTCCCACCAGATCTTGAGCTTCTTGGCGTCGGCGGCAACTTTGGCACCGAGGGCGGCAAAGGTGTAGGCGAGTCGGATGGCGGCTTCGGTGTGGCGACTCTGGAATGGCCAGCGGTTTCCCGAATAAAAATTAGAGCATTATCTTACCTAATTTTCACTATATTTTTCGTTTTTTTCTGTTTATTAAAACCCACCTGCACATATTTCTCGGCCATCATCGCATCGGCCAGCTCGCAATCGTCTACCGTGCAATTGTAGACCTGAAAACGCCAGAAATCAGCAATGTAACGAGGTATGGGTATTTTTGCGTTATCGGGGGGGCTCGTATCCTTACTTATCTATGCAAAATGGAAATAACAAATATTTGTATACTGTTTTAGTCAATCAACTATAATAATTTTGCTGTGGTCTCTGTCCGTCTGTCTGTCTGAAGCCGAATTCAACTCGAAGGGGAAAGGAGCTAGAGCTTAGCTCTCTTCGGATTCGGATAGAGCGTGGTCAGAAACCCCCAAACTGATAAAAAAATTATGAAAAAGTTTTAGTTTAAATTATTAAAATTAACTTTGAAAGTGGCGCCTTAATAAAACGAGTGGGGGCCCCTCTCCCGGGAGGCCACGCCCCCTTTCTCTTCGCCCCTCTTCCCCAGGCCCTTTCCCGCCCCCAAATAGCTTTTTAAGTTACTTTAATACTTTTAATACTTTTTAATACTTTTTAATTATGCTAATTAATTATTTAAATCATCTGAAGCCATCGGGAAGGTCCTTAGGTAGTTTTTGAAGGGGATTTCAGCCATGGGGGGTATCTGTAGCCATCAGAAAGGTATTTAGGTAGTTTTTGAAGGGGATTTCAGCCATGGGGGGTATCTGTAGCCATCAGAAAGGTATTTAGGTAGTTTTTGAAGGGGATTTCAGCCATGGGGGGTATCTGTAGCCATCAGAAAGGTATTTAGGTAGTTTTTGAAGGGTTTCAGCCATGGGGGTATCTGAGCCACAGGAAGGTATAGGTAGTTTTTGAAGGGGATCAGCCATGGGGGATCTGAGCCATAGGAGGTATTTGGTAGTTTTGAAGGGTTCAGCCAGGGGGTATCGAGCCACAGGAAGTATTTAGGTTTTTGAAGGGATTTCAGCCATGGGGGGTATCTGTAGCCATCAGAAGGTATTTAGGTAGTTTTTGAAGGGGATTTCAGCCATGGGGGTATCTGTAGCCATCAGAAGGTATTTAGGTAGTTTTTGAAGGGGATTTCAGCCATGGGGGGGTATCTGTAGCCATCAGAAAGGTATTTAGGTAGTTTTTGAAGGGGATTTCAGCCATGGGGGTATCTGTAGCCATCAGAAAGGTATTTAGGTAGTTTTGAAGGGGATTTCAGCCATGGGGGGTATCTGTAGCCATCAGAAAGGTATTTAGGTAGTTTTTGAAGGGGATTTCAGCCATGGGGGGTATCTGAAGCCATCAGGAAGGTATTTTGGTAGTTTTTGACGGGGATTTCAGCCACGGGGGGTATTGATGGAGGTGGGAAAGGATGTGGTGGAGTGGGACATGTAGGGTAGCCCGAAGGCCAGATGGTTGCAGTCGCGAAGCGACTGTAACCATCTGGTTTAACTAAGTTTCAAGGGTTAAACAATACAAACCTTCAAAAAATAGTCTTTTAGTCGAAATTTTGTGTCATGTATTAAAACGTTGTAAGGTTTTTGGCGTTTAAATAAAAATAAAAAACCCGATTTAGAAACATAATATTTAGAAAATTATATTGGAAACGAGACTGGCTTATTTTCAATTTGTCGAAATTTATTTTGGTGGAAATTTCAACGGCTTTTTGAATTTCCGCTCCCTAAAATTTCGGCAAAAAGAAATTTCGGTAAAACGGAGCGCCCCTCCAAACGCTTG